ACCGCCGGGCCCCTCATGGGGCTCGGCAGTGGAGCTGCAAGGCCGGCACCGGCAGCCGGGACCTTTGGGGGCGGGGTGTGTTGCCTTATGACACATTTCCGGTGATGTCAGGAGGTGTGGGCTTATGACACACTTCTGGTGATGTCAGGGGGTGTGGCATATGCTAATGAGTTATGCTAATGAGTTCCCCTAGCTCTTTTTCTACGAAATGACCCCTGAATGGGATGTTATTTGCCTGGTGGTGTGCTTTACCGCCATGACATGGAAAGCTTCAGCTGCACATTTCTACACATTAAGCCTCAATGGGACAAGCTTCTCCAGGCCTGTTGGCAACTCTATGTGATGGGGTTAACATATGGAAATCGTGGGTACAAGATGCTGCGATGGTCACCTGCTTGGATGCTTTTAAAAGGAAACACTTATGGAGAAAGGAGAGGTCTATGCGTGGTGACTGCTTATTGATGGAACTTCCATATATAGATGCTCTGTACCTGGCTATCAGCTGCAGGAGGGATAACAACACTCTAGAGTAGGGGTGTCAAACATAAGGCCCAGGGGCCGGATCTGGCCCATAGAGGGCTCTTATGTGGCCCGTGAGCAACTGATGCAAGGGAGGAAGTGCTGGAGGGGAGCGGGCAGAGCCACTCCATTGTGGCTTCAGCATGGCAGAACAACCTCGTCTGCAACAGTCAAGCATTGTGGGAGCATCTGCCCAGTGCTGCACTGCTGCCTCTCCAGTCTGCCTATGTTGGTTTTCCTCTGCACCCCCCTCCTAGCCCATGGAGCCTTGTAGTAAGGGTACACCAACTCAGAGCTTACCAGCTGCTGTCCTTTATACAGTTTCTATCTCCAGCAGGGCTTTTTTTGTAGAGAAAGCCCAGCAGGAACTCATTAGCATAATAGGCCACACCCAACACCAGAAACACATTAGCATATTAGGCCACACCCCTGACAGAGCAGCTCATTAGCCTATTAGGCCACACCCCCACGTTACCAGAAGTGTGGTCATTCACCCACACCCACCTTTTGCTTCTTATTCTGTTTACCTTGTTTGTTGTCAAAACCCAGGGCTTTTCTTGTGGCAGGAACTCCTTTGCATGTTAGGCCACACACCCCTAATGTAGCCAATCCTAATGAGTTTCTGCTTGTTGGGTGTGGCCTATTATGCTAATGAGTTCCTGCTGGGCGTGGCCAACTTGGAAGCCAGCCGGAACTCCGTTCCTGTGTGTTCCTGCCCAAAAATAGCCCTGATCTCCAGTACCTGGCATTACATTTTATGGCACGCTTGGCCCAGCCTGACATTTATGTCAGATCTGGCCCTTGTAACAAATCAGTTTGACACCTCTGGATTAGAGAGAGAGAGACTGCTGAATCGAAACTGATAATCAAGCTGAAGGCAGTGCATCCTCCTGGACTGAATTGAGATCTAGGTTTCTTCTCTCATTACCAATGCCTGCTATTGTCATTTGGCATCTGAAAACATTTCACTCTCCAAGATACAAGGACAGATGGACTCACATTCTAGCTGTATCTGAAGAAATGAGCAGTGATTCATGAAAGCTCATGCCCTGCCACAAATTTTGTTAGTCATTCAGGTACTACTGGACTCTTGCTCTCTTCCACTAATAAAGAATGCAAGCTATGCTATTAGGTTCCCCCCCAAAATCTGTTAGAACCGGAAAGGGGGATCTCTCCAAGTGCCATGGAACACTCTCTCTCTCTCTCTCTCTCTCTCTCTCTCTCTCTCTCTCTCTCTCTCTCTCTCTCTCTCTCTCTCTCTCTCTCTCTCTCTCTCTCTCTCTCTCTCTGGCTCTTTCCCACCTCAGAGGAGGGGGAGAAGCCCTCAGCCAATTGAGGGAAGGGAGGGTTGGCTTTCTTTCTCTCCTCTGCAAGTAGGACATAGGAGGGACTGGGCAAAAGGAGCTGCAATGCATGGAACTGGAAGCACGGAAGCAGCAGACAGCCAGTTGCTCACGAGCCAGATAGGAGCCCAGCAAGGGCTGGATCTGGCCCATGGGCCATATGTTTGACACCCCTGCTCTAGATATTTAATAATCTCTGCTCCAAATCAATAATATGAAGTCCAAAAATGATGGTAAATATAAAGATATGATGATGCTATAGATGGTAAATATTGCAGGATGACGTGTCTGGATTCCACTCATTTCAAAATGCAGACTTCTTCAGCATGTTCAAGAATTTGAATCATTAAGGAGCAATGGGGTAAAACCCCAAAGTAAAGCATCTGTAGGAGATCATTGAAAGACTACTAAAAATATACAGTGTAACTAGCAACTTGCCTATAAAAGTATATAACATGCAGACATTAAATTTAAAACACTCACCAACTCCATATGCTGAAGAATGCAAACATTCATTATAAAGCACTCACCAACTCCATATGCAGAGATATACACAGTAATTTATTATTGTTGGCACTAATCCAGTGACTTGCTACAACCAGAGGTTCAGGAAACTTCTAAAGTTGATAAGAACGTTACAATGTGGTACAGTTATTTAAAAAACACTTTCCTAAATTGTTACAGTGGTTAAGAAAAGAACTTCAAGATTTAAACAGACTTATGCCCAATGCAACTAGCACAAATTTCTAAGACATAAAACAGGTAGAAAACATATGGTAAAGACTTTTTAAAAAGATAACATGAAAATTTCAGAGTCTGATTTAAACCATATGGTGCAAAAGTTTTTAGTCTGTATATCCAGGAAGCCTCCTTGCGTAGAAGCTCTTTCTGAATATCAGACCTGGAAAATTGTGGTGGTTCAAACTTTTCTAAAATAAGAAATTTAAAGATTTCTGGACTTAAAATAAATTTAAAAGAAATTTAAAGATTTCTGCTTCATGCACCCTATTTTGAATCTGTGACTTGTGTTCTACTATACGTGTTCTGATGGGACGTATAGAAGAGCCAACATACAAGAGGTGACATAAACACTGTAAAGTACACCACACATGCGGTGGAACAGTTTGTGTGTGATGTAAGAACCCTTTCAAAGTGTGGGAGGACCAGTTTTTTAGTCTCCCAAACCTGCGGGCAAACCAAGCAGGTCCTGCAACGACGATGACCTATTGTGGACTTTTTTTTTTAATGGAGGCAAAACGTTCGATCTTATCAAAATGTTTTTGAGACTCCTTGCTCTCCTAAAACCAATGTATATTAAAGAACTGCACCCAGGAATATCTTGGACGATATGCCAATTCTTGTGGATTATTATTTGTAATAGAATCAGATAACATAGAAAAATTAAAGGCACATGTCACTCTATAGTCTGGTCTGAGATGTAACTTTAAACAATTCTTGACAGTGCCTTTGCTGAGCACAAACTGCCACCTCTTCCACAAGATATTGTGGCTATGGCCCTATGTTTAAACTGAATCTGAAATAAGCGCATGACACCAAGAAATAAGGGGGGAAGTTGTTCATTAATAATATTAAATAATTATCATGTACTAATTTGCAATTGTATATTGTTGTTGTGAATTGTCACAGTCATATATTTGACTGGTAGATGGTGATCTGCAATTTGAGATTTAGCCATGTTCTTGGGAACTGTGTTTTTATTTCATGATCTTCTCCTGTTCTTTCTTTTCTATTCTGCTGTCTCCTGGGATTGCACTTGTCAATGACCTGGAGTTTTTTTTGTCATCTTCTGGGCGTGGATTAGCGGTCACTGCAGGTGTGGAGGGGGAGGTATTTGTGAATTTCCTGCATTGTGCAGGGGGTTGGACTAGATGACCCTGGAGGTCCCTTCCAATTCTATGATTCTATGACCCAAACCTGATTTCTCATTTTTTCTACAATTGTGATATCAGGGGTGTTATGCTCCAGGGGTTTATCTGTTTATAACAGGAAGTCCCAGAGAATCTTTGTTTCCTCATTCTCCATGGTCTTGTCTGGTTTGTGCTCCCATGAAGTTCTGGCTGATGGGGAGCCATTCTTCTGGCAAAGATTCCAGTGCGACATTGCTGCAACTCTTATCAGTTTGAGCAATTTTACTGCAGGCACTGACTACTACTACTACTATTATTATTATTCTGAATCCTATTAATTTACTAGCAATGTTAAGCTGTGCTTATAAATGTTGGTTTTTAATGGATTTTATGCATTTTATAATATGTATTTTATCTAATTGTAAGCTGCCTTCAAGATCTAGCCAAGATCTTGGGAGCTACAGATGTATCTTTGCAGGTATTTGCAAATAGGTTATGCTAATGAGTTATGCTAATGAGCTCCTGCACCTCTTTTTCTATGAAATGACCCCTGATGATGATGATGATGATTATTATTATTATTATTATTTTGCCAGGAAAGCTCTCACTCCTAGAAGTGTAGATTTTGGTTACTTCGCACAATAACAGTCCAGTGGCATCTTAGAGACTAACATGTATTTCAGTATGAGTTTTCATGAGTCACCACCCACTTCTTCAAATAGATATATGTTAGTTATATGTGTTTGGTTACTTAGGCAGAGAACACTCTGTCCATGCTCAGAGGCACCCTTTTCTGCCCCAGCACTTTCCACTTTCACGGCCCAAAACCTGGCTACTCGCCTAAGCCCTGGCAAGAGATGTGAAGGAATCCTGGAGGTTGCCATGGAGCCACGTCCTTTGTTTCCTGCTCTCTTCCTTTGTTATCCTGATTTTCTATAGCCTGGGATGCCTTTCTCTCGCTCTCTCTGGCTGGACTACATTTCCCAGCATGCTGCTGCAGCTGCGCAGAGACGGAGGGCAGCAAGTTCAGAGGCTTCTCCCCCCCCACCCCCCGCACATCAGCTTTGTTAATCCCACCGAAGGGAGGGGTGCCCAAGGGCCATCGCTGCTCCCCGGGAAGGTAGCTCAGCCCCGCTTCCTTCTGCATCCCTGCCAGGGGAGGGACAGGTGCTTAGCATCCCTCTCCAAAAGCACACCTGCGAGCAGACGATGGGGGACCAAAAGGTAAGGGAAACTGCAGCAGGGATGCAGGCTGTGAGGATGCTCAGGGATGCTGCTGCATCAGCACCGGCAGCTGGACCAAGGGGAGGAAGAGACGCCCCAAACCACACATGGCCAGCAGGGCCTGGAGGAGGCAGACCTCAGCCTTTGGCTGCTCCGTCTCAGCCACCCTCTCTGCGATTGCGGGGTGCATCTTGGTGGGGAACAGGGGTCGGCAGGTGACGGGAGGAACTGGAGAAGGTCCACTGTGTCTGGGTGTGTGTGAACATGTCTGTTTGTGTGGGGTGTGGCATAGTGAAGGATATGGACTCTTCACAAAATGAAAATTCAGAAAAGACATTTTCTTTGATGCTGAAGGGATTTAGGAATCTTGGTTCAGGTTTTGATGAGAGTGGCTGAAAGCTCTTCTGCCGCCAGATTCCAGAATGGGATGCGCTTCTGCAGAGACAAAGAAACTGCCCTGCCTGGAGAAAACTAGAACGAAGTTTTAGTCCAGTGGCACCTTTAAGACCAGCAAAGTTTAATTCTGGGTATAAGTGTGCCCACAAAAGCTTCTACCCAGAATTAAAGTTTGTTGGTCTTAAAGGTGCCGCTGGACTCAAACTTTGTTATGTTGCTTCAGACTAGCATGGCAAACCACCTGAATCTATCTGGAGAAAACTAGTTTGGGAAACTAGTTTAGGACAAAAGGTTTGAGCATAGTCTCCCTGAAACGCTCTTTTTCTACCCACCTCACTTTCATCTTGGGAAGCTAGTTTTCTTCCTGCAGAGGAATGATTTTTCTATAGAGGGAGTGTTTCCCTAGGTGAGTCTTCTTGTCCAGTGTGTGTTGGAGCTGTGGGGTCGAAGTATTAAAAAAATGTAATAAATGAAGGACAAACATGAATCTATTCTTTCACCTGAGTGCAGTTCCTCTGATGCAATTTTCTGGTGTTCAATGGCTTTAAATTTGGGTCCAGATTTCTTCCTGCCATGCTCCTGGTATGTGTTCAGATGGCAGTGGGACATATTGTCAACGTAACCTACCTCACAGGGTTGTTGGGGGAAGAGAATGGGGAAATTGTGTATGCCACCCAGAGCTTCTTGAAAGAAGGGCAGGCTACAGATTTGACTGACAGTTTTTAAACCAAGATGCTCCGGGGCTGAAGGACTGCCATGAAGACATAACTTAAGTCATACATACACAGACCTTTACTGGCATATGTATAACTTAAGTCCTGGAAATCCACTTCCCCGGTCGATCCGAGTCTGTCCTCATTGTGAAGGGAAATGCTTGGGAAATTCTCTCAACATTACGCTCAAACCAAAACCCTGATGCTGAGAATGGGGTTGTGTGGGTTGGTTTGCTATGGTGCCTTTGCCAGATGAAGGATCCCTCCTGATTCTGGGTGCTTCTTCTTTTGGGTCAGGATTCCCTGAGGAAGATCATCACCACACTGGCCGTGAAGAATGAGGAGATCCAGAATTTCATTTATGTCCTGAAACAGATGCTCCAGAATGTAGAGGTAAGACACAGCTCTGGGACTGACCAAAGACTGAAGACATCCTGTGTATCTCCCCCCCCCCTCCCAACTGGATGAGATGGAGGAATCCTTCCGGCCCAGCATCCTCCGTGAAAACTCTAATGCATCCAGAAAGCCCATAAGCCCGGCAGGACAGTGGCAAGAAAGCCAAGTGTGGCATAGCGGTTAGAGAGTCTGAGTAGGTTCTGGAAGACCCAGGTTCAAATTTCCTACTCTGCCATGGAAGTTCTCTGGGTGGCCGTAGGCCCAATCTCACACTCTCCACCTAACCTACCTCACAGGGTTGCTACGGTGATAAAATGGAGAAGGGTATAGCTTGGTGTAGTGGTGAAGAGTGGCGGACTCTAATCTGGAGAGCTGGGTTTGATTCCCCACTCCTCCTCCACGTGAAGTCTGCTGCTGGGTGACCTTGGGCCAGTCACGGTTCTCCCAAAACCCTTTCAGCCCCACCTGCCTCACAAGGTGCCTGTTGTGAGGAGAGGAAGGGAAGGGGATTGTAAGCCATTTTGAGACTCCTTTGGGTAGTGAAGAGCGGAGTAGAAAACCAGCTCTTCTTCTTCTGTAAGCCACTCTGCTTCTCCACTGGGGAGAAAAGTGGGGAATAACTGAAGAAAGGAAGGAAATATATAAATATTGCGATCCCTACATCAGATAGACTGCATCTGAACATGAAGGTTCAGTGTAGTTATCATGGCTATAAGACATCCTCCATCAATTCTCCCTTTAAAGAGGATGTCAGAAGTCTCCCAGTGGGCCTGGCCGGCATATTTGTCCCAAAGCTAGTGCAAGCATCTGGCTTCCACTCTTCCGTGAAGCTCATTTGGGTCTCTCAGCCTGGCCTACCTTGCAGGCTTGGCGTGAGGATATAATGGAAAAGGAGGACAATGTACACTGAAATCTTCAGAGGACGTGCAGGGTAAAAATCTGGTAAATGAAATAATCAGGGCACGAAGCAAGCACTCCTCTCCTGCAGTGTGTGCCCCAGAAACTGAAATTCAGAGGTCAACTACCTTGGTGTTGCCAGCTCTGTCAGGACTCTTACATGTCTGTGGGTCCCACAGTCTAATCTAGTCTGTGGGTCCCACAGGCTTTCGTACAAGGTTTGTTGTAAGCATGAGTGGGCGTCGTTTATGGTGTCCCAAAGAAGAAAGCAAGAGAAAAATGTAATTATTATGAACAGCCGTCTGATGTTTTCAGGAATGGAGGTCAAGGGGCTGAATGTTTAGCACAATGAGGTTGTGAATCGCCACCAGGGGTGGGTCCTATGCAGGCTCCCCCCCCCCCCCCGAGAAGATTCAGATGTTGCCTCCTGCCCCATTTCCTCTGCTCAGGCCAATTCGGACCGGGTGCAGCAGGACCTGGAGGCGGAGTTCCAGTCGCTCTACACCCTGCTGGAGGAGCTGAAGGAAGGGATGCTGATGAAGATTAAGCAGGACCGAGCCAGCCGGACTTATGAGTTGCAGGTAAGCACCCTGCCCGGTTGGACCACGGTTCTGTCTGGACCGCTGTCCTGTTTCCAGCAATGGATACGGAGAGTTTTCTCTGCTGCTGGCTCCCCCCAACATCTGGTATTCAGAGATAGACTGCCTCTGAACACCGAGGTTCGTAACAACATTAGGACCAGGGGTCATTTCCTGCAGGAGCGCACAGGAGCGGAGCTCTGGCAGTAAAGAGCTCAGGGGGCGGGCACATCCAACAAGCCCCACCCCCTGCTCCCAGCAGCCCCGGGCACGAGGAGCAAGAAGAAGCCAGGTAAGCTGCAGAGCCCCCCCCCCGGCCCCCCAGTCCAAACCAGTCCAGTGGGTGTTGCCTTCTGACACACTTCCGGTGATGTCAGGGGGTGTGGCATATGCAAATAAGTTATGCTAATGAGTTACACTAATGAGGTCCTGCACCTCTTTTTCTATTAAATGAACCCTGATTAGGACGGCATCCTGTTTTCCACCATAGTCAACAGAAGTCCCATAAACCAGGCATGGAGGAAGTTTGCTAGCTCCAGGCGGGGAAGTTCCTTTAGATTTGGGGTGTGTGGAGCTTGGGGAGGGTGGGGTCTATAGATTCCACCCTACAAAGCAGCCATTTGGTCCAGGGGAAACTGATCTCTGTAGTCTGGAGATCAGTTGTCGAGTTCTCCAGGCCTCACATGGAGACTGGCAGCCCTGCATGGAGGCCAAAGCCTCCCCTTTTTGTTGCCCCCCCGCCTCCAGCAGCAGTGGTGGTCCTCAGAGTTACACTGCCTCTAAACATGGAGGTTTCATTTAGCCCTCGTAACTAATAGCCACAGGACTTCTCCTCCATGAACTTGGTCTAACATCCTTTCAAAGACATCGAAGTTAGTGGCCATCACTATAGCCGCAAATTAGTTGCATACAGTGTTTTCTCTTCCGTTGAACTATACTATTAATCAGGGCTCTAGTCGGGGGGGAGCTCTCAGGTACGGAGCTCCGGAAGAGAACCTCTAGGGGGCGGGGCGGTCACGTGGTGAAGCCCCGCCCCCTTCTTTACCCCACCCTCTGCTTCGATCCTCATTCCGTTTGGGAATGAGGATGAAGCAGGAGGGTAAGTAGCCGGGCCTTCTGACACACTTCCGGTGATGTCAGGGGGTGTGGCCTTCTGTCACTTCCGGTGATGTCAGGGGGTGTGGCATATGCAAATAAGTTATGCTAATGAGTTATGCTAATGAGCTCCGGCAGCTCTTTTTCTACAACAAGACCCCTGCTATTAATGTAATAGTCACTGGTAGGCTTGTTTTCTACACTGGAAACGTTTACAAACTTTGGCATGGTGGGAAGTAGCGTATTGTGTGACTTCAGCATCTGGCTGTCAGAGATAGACTGCCCCCCCCCCCCCACGGCCCACGGAGCGCGCGAGCCCGCTCCGCTGGGGAGAAAACCCCCCCACCCCCGCATCCCTCCCCCGGCTGCGTGTAGCAGCCGGGAAGGGAGGCCACGGCCCGCCCGCCCTTTTCCCTTCCCCGGGGGGCGCGAAGCCGCTCCGCTGGGGGGAAACCCCCCCCCCCCCCCAATTATACCTGGTTCAAATGTAGACCCCTCCAATCACAGTAACCATTCATTCTAGCCGAACTAGCGCTCCTCTACCCCCCCACACACACCTGTAAAATCATCTGTTTGTTATCTTAGCTAAGGTGGTAAGCAGGGAGACAGAGAGACAGACCAAGGCCGTCTGGCCAGCATCCCTAGGAAAGGAAGGTATCTTCAGGAAGTTACATGAGTTGTATTGCCCTGCAATAAAGCCACTCTCACACATTCACACTCCCCCTCCCCTGGAATTTCCCCAAATACATGACAAAAGAGTCAGCGAGGTTGACACTAATAGCTATTGGTGCACCTCTCCTGCACCATGATTCTGTTTCTTCCCTGTTGCTGTCATCCAAATTAGTTATCTTTAATCTAGCAAACCACCACTATCTTGTAGTTGGCAGTTCCATAATTTATTTATACCTTCAATTTGTACCCCGCTCACCCCCAAGGGCTCTGAGCGGCTTACACGGTGCATGGTGCGGAGACCTATGCAGAAACCCTAACTATGGCCACAGTACGTCTGGGGTGGGGGGAGCCCTACCAGGTATCCTACTGAGTATAAGTATAAGTATCCTACTGAGCTGCCTCTCAGCTCTGGGACTCAGGGGGACTAAGTGTTATGGTGGTTCAAGTTTTGTATGGGGGGGGGGTTGATCTCAGGGAGTAGTGCCGGGGAATTCTTGTTCTGCCCCATAGCCGTTGACCTGTGGGGTTTTACATGGTTTGTTCTTATCCCACATGCTATTTAATATCTATAGGAAGCCACTGGGAGAGGTCATCAGGAGGTCTGGGTTACACGGTCACCGATACGCGGATGACACCCAGCCCTACCTTTCTTTCCTACCTAATTCTGAGGACACTGTTGATGTTCTGAACTGGTACCTTGGAGTCAGTAATTGGCTGGAGGAGGGTGAACAAGCTGAAAATTAATCCCGACAAGACAAAGGTTCTTTGGATTAGTAGAAAGGCCGGCTGGGGATCTGAGATATCTCCTCCTGTCTTGGATGGGTTTCTTTGCCCTTGAAAAGCCAGGTTCACAGCTTGGGAATGCTACTTGATAGCAGTCCCCTTGGGAAACCAGGTGGCTGCAGTGGTTCAGAGTGCCTTCAGCTGGTGTGTCAACTTCACTTATTCCTGGGTCAGTCCAATCTAGCAGCACTGATCCATGCCTTAGTTCCATTATCTGGACTACTGCAATGCACTCTACTTGGGGCTGCCCTTGAAGAGTGTTCAGAAGTCTAGTGCAGAATGCTGCAGCTAGACTGCATGTGACTCCGATGCTACAGCAATTACACTGGCTACCGATCCCAAGCCCGATTCACGGTGTTGGTTTTGACCTTTAAAGCCCTACGTTGGGTTGTCTGAAGAACTGTCTTCTCCCATATGTTCCTGCCCAGGAAATAAGATCACCGGGAGAAGCCCTCCTGACTGTCCCATCAATCAAAGACGTTTGTCTGACAGGCACACAAAAGAGGGCCTTTTTGGTGGCAGCCCCATGAATATGGAACAACCCTCCCCAGGGAGATGTGCCTGGCTCCCTCACTTTTGATCTTTAGGAGGCAATTGAGGGTGGTTTATTTAGAACAGCATTTGATTATTTTAGTTTTTCTATGTATTGGCTGTCTTAAATTGTGATTTGAAATTGTGGTTTTTATATATTTTTATGGTTATTGCACTCTTCACAGTATATTTTCATTAATAATAATAGTTCATATAGCCCCATCAATATGCCTGCTGGTTTGTGTAGTATACCAACCTCCAAGTCCCTTGGCCCAAAGCACTTACTCCCTCTATTTTAGATCGGGAAGGGTGGCCGTGTTAGTCTGTCTGGAGCAGGAGAAAAAAGCAAGAGTCCAGCAGCACCTTCAAGACTAACAACATTTACGGCCGAATAAATTTTGAGTCCAGTAGCACCCTTAAGGCCAACAAAGTTTTATTCAAAGTGTAAAAGAAATCAACCCTGACTGTTCTCTGGAAGGCCAGATAATGAAACTGAAGCTCAAATACTTTGGCCACCAAATGAGAAGGGAGCACTCACTGGAGAAGACCCTGATGCTGGGAAAGATTGAAGGTCAAAGAAGACAGGGCCGGCAAAGGATGAGATGGTTGGACAGTATCATCGACGCAACAAACATGAAATTGAGCCAACTTCAGAGGACAGCGGAAGACAGGAGGGCCTGGCGGGAGCTGGTCCATGGGGTCGCGAAGAGTCGGACTCGACTGTGCGACTGAACAACAACAACAAGCTTTTATGTGCTCTTAATGGTGTCACTGGACTCAAAATTTGTTCTGCTGCTTCAGACCAACATGGCTACCCACCTGAACATTTGTGGCCGGGTAAGAGGTAAGAGCAGGCTGTGGAAGGTCGGTAGTTCAGCAGTTCGAGACCCGGGTTGCCGCATGATGGAGTGAGCTCCCGTCTCTAGTTCCAGCTCCTGCCAACCTAGCAGTTCAAAAGCAAGAAATTGCAAGTAGATAAATAGGTACAGCTTCGGTGGGAAGGTAACAGCCTTCCGTGCGCCTTGGTGTTTAGTCATGCCGGCCACATGACCACGGAAACGTCTTCAGACAGCGCTGGCTCTTCGGCTTTGAAATGGAGATGAGCACCGCAACCCTAGAATTGGATTCGACTGGCTTTCGAGCAAGGGAACCTTTACCTTTAAGAGCTTTCATGAGTCATGCAGTGCATCAAATTTTGTTAGTCTTTCAGGTGCTACTGGACTCTTGCTCTTGTCTCCATTTTGAAAAGGACAGAGGAGGGTTGGGAAGGTATTTCAGGATTCATCCCCAGCCCCAAGTGAAACCAATGGCCAATATTTCTCTATTTCTTTTTCTTTCCCTTCTGCCTGGCACCTCAGAACCAGCTCTCTGCTTGCACCAAAGCCTTGGAGAGCTCAGAAGAACTCCTGGAAACAGCCAACCACACCCTCCAAGGGGCAGAAAACCACGATTTCAGTCAGGTAAGGAGAGTCACCTGCTGCTGCTGACTTGCCGGCTGGGCTGGGGGAGATTCGGAGAGGGCCCACAGTGCACCCCACAGCTTTCCTCATGTTTAGGAGGAAGGAAATCGGCCAGGGAAAATCCCCAGACTTTTCAAGGCTGCAGGGACCTTTGGAATTCTGACACAGGGTGGCAGGTGCAACCGTAAAATGGCTCCTGCAGGAAACGGAGTCAGTCCCAACGTTATCAGGGAGTGAGGCTGTGCCTAAGTCAGATAGCAGCCGTTCCATATTTCAGGCAGAATCACAGAAACTCTGCCATTTAACAGGATAACTTTAAAATGAATATATTCTTTGAAAATATTTTCTTGCAGACGCACACGGTAACGTAGTGGAGCTCCTGATGCCGTGGCGGCAGCTGTTGCTAAAGCCTTTTAGAAAATATCCACACAGCCAGTCAGAAGCCCCACCTGGCCCCACATACTGTCTAAGAACACGTGGCGGATGCCACAAAAGGGTCCATGGGCCCCACGTTGGGGACTCCAGCACAAATTATGCTGAGTGGGTCCTCATGTGCTCCGCATGGATTTAAAGGGAGATTCACAATTAGTTGCGGGGGTGTGTATATGACTTTCTTGCAAAGCCACCCAATCGTGTCCTGAAACCACCCACTCCCCGGGAAGTGACTTTGCCCTGCTCCCTGTCTCCAATGACCTTGCGTGACCCCAGCCTGGCTTTTCCTTTTTGTCTTCTGTCTTTCTCACTCTGCTTCGAAGGCTGCTAAACAGATCAAGGACAGGTACGCACTGGGAGCCGCCGGACACCTCTTCCTCCTCCTCCTCCGCAGGGGTTTGGTGCCACAAACGGCACGGCTGTTCTCTTGCATGCTGAGACCCTACAGGACAAAAAAAACCACACCCTCTTCTACTCCGTGCAGGATCCAGAAGTTCTGCTTTGGTGCTTGATCTCTCCGACCCCAAAGTACTTCCTGTGCGGAGTCAGTGTAGTGTAGCCGTTGGAGAGTTGGATGGGGGTCCAGGTGACGGCAGGTTCAGTTCTCCACTCTGCCGTGGAACTGCCTGCTGGGGGGACCTTGGGCCGGTCACACACTCTCAGCCTAGCTGACCTCAGAGGGCTGTTGGGAGAATAAAAAGGGGGGAAGTGGGCCATTTCTGCTGTTCTAGCCCCCAGAGGGTGGGCGGGATAAAAATGTACTAGACTGATAAATAGAAATGGGGGGGGTAATAGATGCAATATAGGGTGGGAAGGCACTCTGCCCATGCTTGGCAGCCTTTTGCTTTTTTTCCTGAGTCCTAACCTTCCAGGACTCCACTCTCTTGAGGACTGGCCACTTGGATCCTTTGCATGCTGCATGGCCTTTCCGTAGCCCTCCTGGGAGTCCAGAGCAGAGGGGCTTCTCTCATTCCTCTCCTCCCGTCTCTCATTGGAAACCCCCCCCTCCCACAGCATCACGATGGCCCCCGCCTTCCGGCTGTCTCTCAAGGCCAAGGT